ATATTGAATTTTATCATCATATTTTAATTACAGCCAGAGTGGGTCATTATTTTATTTATGTTATGTGAGATATTTGTATTTTATTGTGTAAGCCGTCCTGAGGCTCTTGCAAAGGACAGCATACAAATATCCTAAATAAATAAATAAAGCTAATAACAGTTTCTAGCACTCCTGTTTCATCAGTTCAGTATGTAGCCTTTTTAAAAGATACTGCTAGAACATTTGAGTGGTTGGACCAAAAATTTGCCCCTCTCTAGACAGAAAGCCTCTCCAATGTACAGAAGAACTTTTTCTGACTCATATGTATCAATTCAAGTAGAAAATCCAGGGAGCTTTTGCACAGTGTATTCAACAAGCAATTAAAAAAACAAACAACCCCTGAAACACGCAAAATGGCCCAGGATAGAGGGGTTACCTGCACAGCATGAATAATTCTGTGACTGGGTGGTACAGTGCAGCGCTGTATAGCTTTTGTCAATACAGTATGGATTGACAGAACAGAACAAAACGGGGCACCATCTAGCTAAGACAAAGGAGTTTTACATCTCACCAAGTCTGGGCAGAAAGCATGACAAATGTTCTTAACCACCTCATGCAGAAGTGAGCCGGACGGCTGACATGGCTGCTCCTACGCGCCCGCTCTGCGGGGCGGTTCACACGGCTCTGTGCTGCGCTCCGGAGCTGAAGTGATGAAACCGCTTAAGAGGCGGCTGGAGTGCAGATGGAGGAGAACTCCCAGTGAGTGCAACAGAAACTTGGCACGTGCCTACAATTGGGTATGTTCTGAGGCAGCGAGGGTGGCAAAGAAACATCTCATTGCTTCAGTTCAGTCTTCCCTCCGTTGTGCAGCAGAGCTTTTCAAAGTTGTCTGGAAAAGCTGTCAGTTATTGCGATCTGACCCCAGGGACTACTTGGCACCATCGCAGGCCCACTGCAATTACTCTCTGGGCACTTCCAGGGGAAAAAAAAAATGCTTGCATCTGCTTGGACTTGGATGCCAGAGTCACTGGATGCAGCTGAATCTGTGGAGATCTCCAGAGCACGGCTTTTAAGCTTTTAAGACTTATCTGGAAACCCAGGGGCTTGGGGGATGGCCTTCCCAGGTGTTTTACTGAGCTGTTCTTTTTATTGTTTGGTTTTAGCTGTTTTAAACTTTTAATGTATTTTTGATTGTATATATTATATGGACTGTTGTAAACTGCTCAGAGGGTTTTGGCTGTGGGTCACCATAGAAATGAAATTCATCATCATCGGGATGTAGACTATTTAAAGTAGGCTAGATTGTGTCCTACTTATATAATGTTTTATATTCAGGGGTTAAAGTGTAGGCTAACTTCAGGGCATAATCCTGTGGCTGCAGGACACTGTCTAGACAGCCATGGGAGATGCTGGTGTCCCCACTCTGACCTCAGAAACTTGCTCCAAGCTTGCAGCCAGAGCTCTGAACTCTGCCCCCACAGTGGGCATGGAAAGAACTGCACCAGCTCTGGCTCTGCAGTCACAAGAGTGACCTCAGAGATGGCATTTTGTGGGCCTTCCAGTGGGGAAGAGAAGGAGACACGCTCTGTCCGTATATGCAGCATCTTTGGTGGTGCCTCACCCTTGCGTCCTCACCTGGGGTAAAACTGGCCCTTTTGGTAGGGCAGGAGAAACACAGCGGTGACCTTCAGCGCTGTACTCCTTCCACTCTCCACAGGATGCCTTTAATTCTCCAAGTCCAATGGACTGCAGACAGCCAGGCTGGATTGTGTTGCCCTGTGTTTAGAGCTGTTAATAAACTAGCCTCAACTCCCATGGGTTTCAACCCATTTTATCAAATGCTGTAAATGGAACTGTGGCAGGCTTCAGTTTATGCATCAAGATACCTGAATGACCAAAGCAAGCCATATGTGCATGGCCCTTAATCCTGGAATTTCTAAACAGAAGGCTAACATGGTTATATTAGGGTTCTTTTACATGCTGTTTTACTGATGCATTAATTCCAATGCCTTTGCAGCAGAATCCAATGAGGCTGCCCCTAACTCTCTGAATCCAGAGGATTATGGGCATCCTATAGAAAGCAGCAGGAGAGTGGAAGTGAAAGATACCTCCATGCTCTTCCCACCTTGCAAAAGGTCGATTGCAGCTGTTTAAGTGCTTTGCCCAGAAGTGTGAAATGAGGAGGCTAAAGCGCCTCCGGGATGCTACATGCCATGGCAGCACCGCTCTCCTTCCTTCCCTCCACCCTGGGATGCCCACAAAACTCAGAGCAGCTCTCATGAGCTCAGAATCCCAGGCTGGCTGTGAGTGGGGCAGGAGGACACTCTCGTACCTGGAGTCCCAGCTCTGACCTCAGAGTGAGTTTCTGAGGGTGGAGCTGGGAGCCCAAGTAATCCTGTGGCTAGTTAGTCTCTGTCTAGCAGCCATAGGACAGTGCCCTTGAGCATGTATTTTTCGGCACCCCTAGGAGGACTAGGGACTTCCCACTCTTGCCCCAGGTACTTTAACAGAACCCCAAAATAAAGAGATGTTTTGTCGCTCTGAACAGCAGCCCTGAATGGAAAATCCGAAGGCACACAGAGCGGTGCCCTGGTTCCTTGGAAGCCAATGACAGGTCGGTGCTTTCCTTGGAATGTTTTCTGACAAGTCCAATAGGTGGGACTCCCTGTCACTCAGCTCCTCAGATGAGCAGGGGTGGCAACCCATGGTGCTAAAGTGATGCTACCCCTCCCTACAAAACCAAGCATTGTCCGAGGAGGATGGTCCAAGTGACGGACACTCTCCTTTCCGATTCCCCCCCAGAATTCCTTTGTCCGTTGTCACCCGCAATGAACTGGCTTTCCCTTCTGGTGAATTCTGGGATTCCGAACTTTTCAGCGCTCGACGAATGCAGCCTTCACACACTCATCTAACTGCATTCTGAAATAGAAACCTGCCCTTTGATCGCTGACGACTTTTTGGACTATCATGCCCATGCAAATCAATACACCATTTCAAGCCGCCTCAGGGGCTTGTCTCATACTTGCTTTGCATCTCTTTCATAGCGAGGGGGGAAAGGGCCCATTTCAGTCACAGACTGGTCACAACAAATACCTTCAACTTGATTTTGAACTTTCCCACGGTGTGGTTGTACCATTGCATAAAAGTATGAAACCCAACAGCGGCTACAAGTGTCATTCCCCCTTCCCCCTCCACAATTTTAAAGCTTGGCAGGAAGAGTAACACTTCCAATTTGCATTATATATTCCTCAATCCATGCTGCATCAGTGGGGGGTTTCTTACAATGTCCTGTTTTAATAACAGGACATTAAAACAAAATCTTAAAATCCAGTCCTGCTCCCACTGACTCAAGATGGGTTTCTTTTTTACTGCAGAGATTCTAGTGGAAAGCTTTGCTTTTTTTTAAATTATAATTTCTCTAGAGGAGTCCCAATTTCACAATCATTGGCTGTGCTGAAGACAGATATTCTGATAATCCTTTGAACACTCACACACCTATCTCCAAGACTGTAGTAAACATGTTTTCTGGATTCAAGATTTAAAAATTCCACAAACAACTCTCAGACAAAACAATTGAATCAAATATGCAGAGGAAAGCTATAAAGATAGGCAGACAAGTAACTTTGAACACCAAACACGTGCATACTCATGGCTACAAATTTTTCATTAGTTTATGTACATATAGGGGTTTTCTACACGAGGCAATTAATCCATTGTATTGGCTTTTGGTTTTGTTGCAGATACTTTTCTGCTTTTTCACCTCATAACCTCTAGGGGGTACTGTTGCCCAGTAAAATAGTGCAAATACACAAGAGGAAATTATGCTTTCTTTCACCATGAAAAATAATACTCCATTTTGCATGCCCTAAAAACTCTCACAGAAAATGGGTTTACCAAGGAAACCATCCCCCCGCCAAAAAAAACCTGGAGGGTCGCAAAATCATCAAAAGAACCCATAAACAACTATGCATAAGGAAGAGCAAGTGCACAACTAATACCTCGTGTAGAAAAACTCATAATATTCACCCTCCATGTTTGAAATGGACCGCTCTAAGGAAGGACAAGCAACTGCTATAGGTTGAGGGGAATATCCCCAAAATGTGGATTTACTGCAATGGCAGCGCCTTTTCTACCTTTTTCGATATTACAAAGAATTCTATTGCACCACAAAGCCTGTCACATTTATAAAAGCTTGCCACAATAAATGTGTTAGACTTCCAAGTGTCACCTTATCAGATGCATGGAGAATGACGAGGAATGTCTGGTCTTTATAAGAACTATAAACTCTCTGTAATTCTCCATGCAACAGCTGAAGTGAGCTACAGCCAAACGCATATGCCAGCATGAATTAGGTGGCCTTGGGTAAGTTGTCAAGAGAGTCTTTGTTGGTTTCACTGCAGCCAACATGGCAACCGCTCTGGAAATCCTTTCAGGTGTTTGTCCTGCGAGTCACCCTCTCTTCTCTACTGTGCTGATAAGTAGTTCTAGAACTTTATCCAGAAAACTCTCTCCTTACTGATATTTAGTGCCCCATGAGCTTCCAATACGCTACGGGACAACACAACTGTACAACTGCTTTAGTTTTCTCATTATCACTCAGCTGGCACAGTGCCATAGAAGCAAACCCCCAATTAATCTACCTGTGTGGTTGGTTACCCACCCTCAGTTTTTCTTTGGTCTATGAAAGGGTGGAGTCTAGCCTCAAGAAGAGGAAAAGCAGCAGACTCACCTTTTTGTCTGTGCTTTGCTTGTTTTTGCACACTAATGGGACAGTTTTTAACCTCAGCAGATTTGCGTGGACAAAAGTTTTCAAGTTGCTTGAAAACGCAAATCCAGTTGCCTCCCCCGAAGACCAGCACTTCACGGGAGCTGTGCAGTCTCCAGTGTGGGAGAGCTCGGTTTGGGCATCGCACACTGCAGAGAGCGCTGTCACCCAACTACACTTTGCCTCATCACCGTCCCCCTCACCCCAAACTTTGACGCCCGGCACGCATCACAGAGAAAGAACAAGAGGTGCTTACATGTTCGTATTAGCAGTAGATGTCAGCCATTCCCCAGCCAAGCCAATGATATCAAGCCCTGTAGAAAGTTGGTTGAAAAAACGAGGATGACCTAGAAAAATAAAGGACATGAGCTTAGGGATGCTTCTCTTTCTCTATATTCATAGCTTCTATTTCTCCGTATTCTTACATCAATAGTCCAAACAGTCTGAACTGTCAAGATCCATAGCACAAAGTTATACTTTGAAATGTAACTAGGAGGGAGGTCTGTATTTTAAGTAAGCAGGACAGTGAGAAGAATAGCTAACGTCATGGATTTTTCTGCTCCCTTACAGGGAAAATTCTGAGCACGTAAGGTTACCACTTAAGATACTGAATGGGGCAGGGGGATCATAATAAATAGGGCTGTACTTACCAGGTGGCTGAGTAGAAATTATCCCTCACTGTCCCACTTCCTTATGTCCTAAAGACCAAGGGTGGGCAGACCAGCAGCTGGAGAGAATGGTGTCTGTCCATCTGACTTCCTAAATCCACCAACTGGAGCCACGCTGGCTCACTGAGGCAGGCACTCAATCAGAATCAAGGAAGGGCAAGAGCCTGTTCTGATTACATTTCCAGAGCTGAGCTCTTCAGCTTTTCACATTAAATCCACTGCTGTCCCCACCTCTCTACCAAGTTTCTATTGCTTCAGCAGCCAGAGAGACAGGAAGGAGAGGAATGACTGGATTCATACAATAGGATAACCCACACTGAAGCATTGAGTATGAATGTGGGCTGTCACTGAATCATGGGTTATGGTGTGGGCTGAATCCAGCCTTGCTAAGGGCCCCGGTCTTATTCACCATAAACCACACATGCAGGGGGCCCATGGTTTGCTGTGGGGTTGTCTTTAGCTAACAGATATGGTTTGTTAGTATGGCACATTCATGTAGCAGCTGTTTTTTTTTAAATGTCAAATCCGTCCTATGGAAAATAATATTATATGGGGAACTGTGTGATTTTTCTTTGTTGAATTAAGGTACATCAGTCAAAACATATACATGTATACATGCATGGCTTTCTAGATGAATTGTATGTCCTGAGATAAGTTCTCCAGACCTTGCCTTACCTGAAGGTTTGTTTAAACAAAGGATGATAATTTCAAGGGAATTAAAAGGACAGAAAGAGAGGTTCTGAGCAATCCAGCACCCTTTGGGTTATTAGCTTAGAAGACAGAGCTGGGAGCAAGAACTGTTACAGTGGCCTGAGGCTATCAGTGCCTTTAAGTAGTCACATGAAAACTCTGCGATTCTCTGCACAACTAAACAGTGTTGAAATCAAGTAATGGATTAGGAATTTTTAAAATCTAGTGTTTGTTCATGAAAATACAGGGCAACCTGTAGTTGCTTGGAATATACATAGACTTTAAAATACTTTAGGAGACCCGATGGTGGTGATTCTCATTGATAGTTAATGTAAACCTCATCATTCATGCACGGCACTCAGGGCAATGTTCAAGAGGCTTTCCTGCTCCATTTTAACTGTACAACAACCCTGTGGGGTAGGCTAGACAGATAGCAAGTGGGCTATGGCCATCTACCCAACTTTGGGGCCCAGCCAGGATTCAAATCTGGTTCTCTCCGGTCCAGGTCCGACACATTGATCTATCACATCACCCAGGGCCTCAGCGCTATGTGCCTCCGCAACTCCTCCACAGAGAATATCGCGCAGATGCCCTTGGTGCTCATTCCGCGATCTTCTCATGCGCAGATTTTGTATCAGTCGTGCCAATCAGAATGATAACATATGATCCGCGTGGACGTCGCAAGGCATTTTCCTTCCATACAATGCACAGTCCATGAAGTGCTCAGAAAACATGGCCCTCCATTAAAGACCTGCAACCTTGAGGCCACGTGCAACAAATAAGTCAAAACAACTATCTGGTTGCAATTATGTTTCTCATCCCACCATAAGTGGTATGCTGAAAAAGCCCTTTCCATTTCCAGCTTTCACTAGGTAGGTTTTTAACCAACTGACCTTCAGCAAGGGAGATTTTGTTAGACAGTTACTGGTTTAGACAACACACTGCAGCTCATTGTGGGTTATTTAACCCCCGACGAAGCATATCTGTGGGCACCAAAGGGCACTTACAACCCCTCTTGGGGGTTGTCATGCATGAGGTTATGCAAGCGTTACACAATCCTCACATGACCCTAAAACAGACCTTGCGTTTTGCAAGTGTTAAATATAACCTGCGCTGGCTGGATTCGCATGATATGACAAACCCCAAACAGGGTCCGCATATTCCAAATGGTGCCCTCACAGGCCAAGGCCTCTCCTTTGGTTATATGACCCGGGGAGACTGCTGTGCCGTGCGACTAGCCCCAGTACTGCAGTATAGTCTTGACTTTGCCTCACTCTGGGGGACAAGCTAGCTCTTGCAAAACGCTGCCAGCGCTCCGGTCGCTCGTTCTGAGAAAACGGGTCAAGTTCAGTGGCCGGCAGCGAGGAGAACACTGTCACATCACATTAGGTCTTGCATTAAGGCTTGCCCTGCACCCAGAAGACGTGACACGAAGCCCAATTCCAGTCCCCGTGGCCCTGTTTCATAACTTCAGTGAAAGCATACCATTGTCCAAAAAGTGCCCACACTGAAAGAACTACAAAATGAGACCCTCCATTCTGTAGGGGAGGCTGGTGACCCCGATATCATTCATTGCTGGTTTTCTTTGCAGCCTTCTGTGAGTTATCCATGGCATTCCAGGGTGGTGACCCTATTCTGGGGAGGGAGTTCAGCACCAGGGAAAGATCCTACAAAGGGAGGGAAAGGAGGCGGCCAGGGACTAGGAAACGGGAGGGAGGTGCGAAGGCAGTCTGTGGCCCATCTTCCCCTACCCCATCCAGCCCCCAGCCCCACTCTTTCCCTTCTGTGGGACTTACTGTACTTCCAAGCAAGCATGCATAGATTTGCCCGAAAGCGCTGCCCTCCATGCCAGAAGAGGGAATCACTGGCAATGGTAGCAACAGAGATTCTCCGCCTCTACTTTCTATCTCCAGGGGAACAAACAGTGGGGGAAAATAGTGGATCCTCCACTGAGAGGTCGTCCGGTGCAGATTGCAGAAGTATCTTTCTCTGTATTCGTATCTCTCTCTCTATTTTTAAATAGAGAATGCGTTGTTCCTAGATGATGGCGGAGCTCACATCACTCCTGGTGGGGGCTCAGCTGCCAGTGCTCCGTTTCTAACCGGTGGGAAGTGGCGTATGCCCATCTGACTGTGGCAGCATCCCATGTGAGGCCATGGGTCGGTCCGTGTCCTGCTCTGTGGCACGGGATTCCCATTTTAGCTCCTTACTATTGGAAGTTAGTGGTTGTGGCTGGTTCTGAGCGGGCCTGCTGACTCCTTCAGCCTGAGAGATGAACGACCCATTTCAGGGCTGGGGAGCATTATGGAAGGTGGCAGTGGCCTTCCTCATCATAGAAACACTGGCACTTTCTGCTCTCACTAACGATGCAGAACTTCTGGCCCGCAGGCCAGGTCTTGTCCAGTGGGGGTCCTGACCTGACCGTCTGGGTTCTCCCAGATGGCTTCTGCCCTTGATCCCATGCCTTCCTGCTAGCTAAGGAGTGGTGGTGGTTTCTTGACTTGTGTGGGTTTATTCCCTTTCTATAAGGCTGAAATTCCTCTCCTGAGAGTTATTTACTGGCAGCAAGAGATTTAAGCTATAATATGCTGATATTTTTGGCCCCGTCCACCACTGGGCCGTGGCCCACAAAACAGAGGTGAAAGATTTTCAATACCCCTAGTCAACAGTCATCACACTGGAGCCATAATAGAGGAGTGATAGTAGCAATGCATCCTGAGCCCTGATGAGCTGGTACAGCAACCTCACGAGTGCCAAGCCTAAAGAACTAAAGCTAACTTTATTTCTGTGGGTCAAGGATCTTGAGAGAGCTCAGGGTGTGCAGAGTGCTTGGAGGTCTCTCTTCTGCCCCAGTTGGTCCAAGTCCCAAGCCAGAGCCCCCCTGAACTTTCCAATGGACACCCCAGAGCTTCTTTTCTTTTTACAAGACCTCTGAGGAAGAACATGAAACAAACCGTTCAAAACTTGAATTATATGCAAGTCCAAATACTTGCATACAACATCATCATCATTTTTAGCTCACTGCTAAGCCAAAAGGTCTCTCAGAGTGGTTTTCATACAGGCAATAAAATCAGGACAGTCACTGCCTTTAGGTTTACAGTCCAACTAATTAGAGTTAGTCTCAAGAACTGCTAATTCTAAGTCAGATTCGGATGAAATCTCCTCATCAGAAGATTTAATCACAGGCCTCTGCTTGAGCCAGGCTCAAGGAGAGTTAGAACCCCTAAGGGACCCTCTCTGGCCATCCTGCAAGAAAATATTCCAGGCACAGAACAGGCATAAGTGGTCGGCCTAAAGCTCCCCAGCCTGACTTGCCCCCCCGCCCCCCGTTGCATTGTCTACGTGGGTACCACCACTGGGGCCCAGAAACAGAGATTGTAACGAGTCCCTTGAGAGTGCATTACAGTAGTCGAAACACAAGGTTTCCAGAGCATGGATTACCATGGCTAGGTTCTGCTGGTACAGATGCGGATGCAGCTGATATAGCAGCTGCGGTTGCTAAAAGGTGTTCCTGGCCACAGATGCCACCTGATGCTCCAGGGACAACTTGGGGTCCAGGAGCAACCTCAAGCTCTGCTCTCTGTCCTTTAGGGGGAATGCAGCCCTGTCCAGGGCAGTCCAAATATCCTTCTCCCGAATTGAGGCTCCACCTACCAATAGCACCTCCATTTTGTCTGGCTTAAGCTTCAATTTATTAGTCCTCATCCAGTCCAGACAGTGGTTCAGGGTTGGCATCTTCACAGATGGACAACCCAACTTGGGGGGAAAAGCCTCCAGGCCCTACCAAAAATGCTTCCACCCTCTCACTGAATGAGCATCTTATGGAAGGCTCAGTAGACAAACTCGCTTCACAAGCCTAGTTCCGTGGAAGAAGAGGAGGAGGAGCTGGCCCTGTTGAAGCTGAGGTTCGTATTCAGATGAGTTTATTAGGCATTAAGATCTTTTCTAATAAGATAGATGAAAACTATTGCAGGCAACATTCCCATTTGAAAATTTAAAGCCTTCCAACAGCAAGTCATCCTTAGTATATCAGTCACTAAAGAATGGGAGAGATTATGATGGAAATTATATTTGATATCTTACTCTGAAATGACCTAGAAGCAGGCAACTTGCCTTGTATAATAAGTTATCAGTAGGGTTGCAAGTATTAATGATCCCAAGACTCCAAGTCCCCCTTTTCCTTTCTTTGTTTTTTTGGCATTAAATGTCTTGGGAACATAAAGAAGAAAAACTGCAAATTCAGGCTCATTTATGCCCTCATTTACCTAATGATATTGTTCCCCAGAGATACAGGCGGCTTGCATTCCATCAAGTGAAAGAGATTACGACTTTTCAAGTGTGCCTGTCAGGGCTGTCTACACCCAATGCTGCAAAATGCCAATTTGAGTGACAAACGGAAATGCCAACAGCCTGCTTAATGTGGGTAATAAGATTGGGGGGGGGGAGGTGTGATGTCATCCAGCCTGCACACTAAGCAGAAGATGGATCCAGTTAAATCAGGCCCCTTTAAATCAGTGATTTAAAATTGGTCTTTTCTTCACATTACTGAATGACGCAACTTCATATATTTCCTAAAGGGATCTGATCACTAGACCATGCTACAACTAAGGCCACAATCCTAGACCCATTTGACCCAAAACAGCTTATTTCTGGCCATGAATGCATAGGATCGTCCTACAAATAGAAGATTATTTACAATGGGTTCAATCCAGATTTAGGTATTTGCAACTGGGCCAGTGGAAATGGAATTCCCTCTCTTTGTTTTGCCATAGCAGCCCTGGCAGATCTCTGAAAATGCAGTACTGGACTGTACTGAACAGGGTGTCCTGTTGGGTGTGGGGAGAGACAGGTATCCCCAAAAATCAGTAGGAGCACCTTGCATGAGTGGAGCCCTTCTGTTCAGGGAAATGCCCGAAATTTCCCGTGGGCCTGTATATTAAATGTATCTTTATCAGCTAACTGGAATTCCAACCTTAAACGCATTTATTGGAAATTTGTCTCACTGAACCCGGTTGCTGCTACCACAAAAGCAAATCTGCTCAGGGTATAAGGACATTTTCTTTCTTTCTTTCTTTCTTTCTTTCTTTCTTTCTTTCTTTCTTTCTTTCTTTCTTTCTTTCTTTCAAGGGCTGGAAGTCTGAGGGAGAGGAAGTTTATTTCTTCCACCCAGGTCAGAGCAAGAATTTCATGCTCCGTAAGAACATTCTCTCTCTCCCACCTCCGCATGCTATCAAGGAGTTGGTCGAAGTGGAATAGAATCCACAGATCTGGATCTGTGTTCCAGATCACTCTCTTTTGGGGAGGTTCAAGGAAGAATTGTATTTCCAAACTGTGCTGCAATGATTCCCGATAGCCAGAAGTGGAAAGGAGAACAATTCTGTCCCTGTTGTTTATATTTGGTTTGCTTGAATACACATTGTTCAGGATACACCTTCTACTTTGGTACAGGTGTGATTGTTCCTTCTGTCTACCCAGGTCTCTTGGGTTGGTTCATCAATTCTGTACTCTGAGCTGCTCTTGTGGCAAACTGTTAAATGAGCCCATGTGTGAAGGGCAGACCTGAGTTTCCCCCGGAAGTGCCCATACATGGGTTTAGGAAGGAGGCAGTTCTCTGACCCCGAAAGGCAAGACTATGCCAGTGCCTGTTTACATTCCTGTAAAATGTGATAAAATGGGAGGTTGTTTTTAACTCAGGGTTCCACTTTGCCAACTTTGTGCAAGGAGACCTTTTTCTGCAGAATCAAGCCTTTTTGGTCTCACACCCCTGGAATGCTCGACTGGTTACTGCGCGTGCCAGGACCGAGTACCACTTTTGTGCACAACATGTGCTTGGCTTGAATGCCAAAGTCACGAATCCAGTCCCTTAAAAGCGGGGGCGGGGGGGGGAGGAACCCAAGTTGACAGCACTCATCTACCATGCAACCCTATGCATGTTTACTCAGAAGACTGCCTCCATCAGTACCATGAGGTATACAATGACAGCACTAAGCAGCACAGGTGCTCTTTTAATCCTGACTGTTCCTATTCCTGGCTGATAAAGGCCTGCCTAAACAGAGCTCTCATAAAGCCCAGGTATGAACACTTGCATCTCCAAACAGCAGGGTTTCTACAGTTGTGCACAGTTTACATTAAATCGCAACATGGCAGCGTTTGCAAGTATAATTGTGCAGAGGATTCCATGCTTGTGAACACCAGGAATAAATGATGCCATTTGCCTGAGGACCTTGCAGCACAGTTCCTGCACTCTGACACCGGGACGGCATGCCTTATATCACTTCTTATTGCCACATGTAGACCTGACCTTTCTTCCATGATGGAACTTAAGGCGGTAAACATTGAGTTCACAGGTGGTTTCCCATAAAGGCACCAGCCAAACTAGGCCTGCTTAGCTTCTGCCAAGATGTTTCTGACCATGGCTTGAGAATGCCCCATGCAAGATCCCCACCTCCTTGTATTGTGAAACCCCCTGAGAATCTTCTCACCTGTCCTTACTCCATATTTCAGCGTGTCCCTGCAGTCCACCAAGATCTGCTCGAGTGATTCTGGGTTGTCGGAGAGCTCAAGGTTGAAGCCTTCCATGCCTTCCAGAAGCTGGTGTGGATGGTGAAAGTCCAGCACCTTGGTGGATCTGTCAAAGGTCTTCCTCACGTAGGTCAGGAGAATGTCCACCACCTCCAGAAGGAACTGCACTGTCTGTTCCTCGCCATTCTTAGCTGGCAACAAATCTGAGCAAGGGACCAATAAACAACCAACCCCGTTAGGGAAAGCAGCAAGAGAGTCTGGAAGCTCTTTCCACAGCCTGCACCCTCACTTGCCAAACTCCTTTTCATTGAGAGAGAATGGACTTCGAACTCAAGAAGGTCAGCTCCACAGATGGTAGTGCATCTGTGTATCTCTTGCCATTAAATGACCTGCTTGCCATAAAGGAACAGGTAAGTGCCACCCAGGTTCTTGAGTGCAAAACCTCCTCAACTGGTCCTTCCTTCAGTGAATCTTTCTTCTCCTCACCATTGTCTTTGCTGCCACCTGCTTGCTTGACAGGTAGAGTCAGAGAGGAGCAGTGAAGACTGTCCTCTGTTGTAGGGCATTTTATTAGGGTTTTTTTTTGGGGGGGGGGTGTTAGCTGCTTAAACAGGTTGTCTGATTAATTCATATAGCCTACTGCAATTGTTATGTGTGTTTTCATTTGGTTTTACATTTTGTATGATAACTTTTTATGATGTTTAAATGTTGTATTGCATTTTAGGTGCTGCAAACTGCCCAGAGACCTCTAACTATTGGAGGGTGGTATCATCATCATCATCATCATCATCATCACCACCACCACCACCACCACCACCTGCTGCTGCTGCTGACCACACTTGCCTTGGTCAGACTGAGGCAGGCAACCAAGCAGGTTGCAGCACTGCAGGGGAGGCCTTTGTTAGTGGGCCCCCTGCTGGGTGTGGCACACCTGCAGATGCCCAGCCAGGCCTACCTTTGCCCCTGGCCTTGACCATGATCCCAAGCTGTGGCTCCTTGTGGGACAACAGTCAGTGGTAAGAAACCAGCCCAAGAAGGAAGCCAAGCAAATGTATGACAAACTGGTAGGACTGAGGCACTCTGGAGCCTGTTGTGCTTGGTTAAATGGTCTGCAGAAGCTTCTGATTAAAATAAACGCAAAATTGACTTTCTGACTCTTTCTCCTAGCCAACGTCATGTAAAGGGTTAATTCTGACACCTCCCCTCCCCCACCACAAATAATGGTAACCAGATAGGCTGGGTCCACTCTTTAAACTAACTAGATAGAACAGGCCTGTCTTGAACTGCACCTCTGCGTTTTGAACTGGTGGGGATGTGAACCTGGATCGCCCCAGTCCTCCTAGTTCGACACACCGATCACTACATTGCACTGACTCCCTTATGCTGCACGAGGATTAATCCAGAATAGCTTCTGCTACCAGCACCATCCCTTAACGAGCAAACTTTAGATCACTAAATATGGGTGAGTTGCCCATAACACGGATTAAGAGTTCCTCGGTGGTCCTGAACAGAGACGAACACGACGCATGGGCAGATGCTTTCCCATCCGCTTGATGCTTGCCTGTGGGGGCCGTAGAGATTTTTGATCTGTCTTAGTAACGATGACTATAAAACTAGGGTGAGGTCATCAGGTTGGGTGATATTACGTAGAACAAAAGAGTACGACGGTTTCCACACGCCCTGCCCCCTTTGACCTCGTTTATTGTGCATGTGGGGGTGGTTAAGCCATCCTCCTTAACACGAACAAACGCAGGCATGCCTTAAAGGATGGCAGCTTTCAGCACCGGCCTCCCTCCAAGCTTTTTATGGGGAAGCATGCTGAGCGCTGTAGCCCAGCACAGCTGAAGGGCACCAGACTAGGCAAGGCTGCTCTAGGTCGCTTCATGTCATGTCGACCTTTTCTACTGCAGAAGAAAAGGCGGCAAAGGAGAGAGGACCCTCTTTCTGTCTGGATCTGCTCGCTCCACTTCTACGAAGAACAGCAAGCTTCTTGTGGCACCTCGCAGACGAAAAGCTGGATTGCTTACAAACTTCCCTGAACTAAAAAGCCCCCTTCATCGGAGCATGAAATGTTACGCTCAGCCTGTCAGGCAATCGCACATGCGTGTGCACACACACACACACACACACACACGGTGGGGTCAAGTTCTGCTTGTAACAAAGCTGCTTGGCACAGAGCCAGTCAAGAAGACACAGGCTGGCAGCCACCTTCCAGCAGCGGCTGGCTTTGCTGCTCACAGCGGCCCCCTCCGTACTCAAGAAGAGCTTGGGAATGCCGGATGCATCTCGCCACTTGGACAATAGTCCCCGCGGCTCCTGTCACAATAAATCTCTCCCGGTGCAAACCTGTACGCACTTCCCTGGCAGTAAACCCAGCTGGGCTCAGTGCAGCTTTTTTTCTGAGAAGACCTGTGTACTTGCCATTGCGCTGTTAGTCTGTACGGTGCCCCAATCCTCTTTTAATTTTGTTTTGGCCACAACAGACTAACATGGCTACCCCACTGACAGACAAGTGTCTTTGAGCATGTGCTGAGTATCTTTTACAACTAGCTCTCCAGATTTCAATAATTCCAGGCAAGGTTGGCTTCCAGGGGTTCTGTGCTTCTTATTTCAGAAAACCACTGTATTCTCGCTCTTGCTCTTTAATACGTGAGTTCAAAAACAGTTATTTAACATCAGGATACACTTAACTTTGGCCACCTAATGAGAAGGAGGGACTCCCTGGAGAAGAGCCTAATGCTGGGAACAATAGATGGCAAAAGAAGAAGGGGACGGCAGAGAATGAGGTGGCTAGATGGAGTCACTGAGGCAGTCGGTGTGAGCTTGAGTGGACTCCGGGGGATAGTGGAAGACAGAAGGGCCTGGAGGAGTGTTGTCCATGGGGTCACGATGGGTCGGACACAACTTCATGACTAACAATAACGTACACTTAACAGCTTACTATAGAATTTTATCTCTCAGGAATCCATGAATACCCAGGTGTCCAGAGCCTTGAACTAGTCCTGTCCAAAAATCCAGACCTCTTCAGAGAAACTGGCCTAGCGTGCTCACCCTCCCTCAACAGGATCTGTGATCCTGACCAGCTAGACACCTGCTTCAACCTGGTGCTCTCCAGATGTTCTGGATAAGAACTCCCAGGATCCTTGGCCACTGGCTTTGCTGGCTGGGGTTGTTGGGAGTTGAGGTCTAAAACATCTGGAAGACATTGGATTGGGGAAGGCTTAAAACAAAATACTTTCAGCTGCTGAGAATCAGTCAGGGTCATATTTGCTTACTTGTACAAACAAAAGTAGAGAAATGAAGAGCTATTGCGATTGTGTTTAAGAGCAGCTCTTTGGCCAGGGAAGAGATACTATTTTTATGGACCTACATAGTTCAGACCTTTATGGACATACAGCTGCACCAGAAATTAGACCAGGGGTGATTTGGGTAGGCGGGAGAAGGAGATGAGAACCCGGATCTGCATAGTTCAGATCATCTAGTCATGCACCAGAAGCCCCTGGGTAGCTCAAAGACCGAGCAGAATGGAGACAAGCAGTTGTAGCAGCATCTCGTTGTGCTTAAAACCTGCCTTTTTTCCTCATGCAAAGAGCACGAGGCAGTTTGCAGTGTCTTCCTCCACTCCATTTTATCCTCACAGCAACAACAACCCTGTGAGGTAGATTAGGCTGAGAGGGGGTGACTGGCCCAGTCACCCAGTGAACTTTGAGTCAAATGTGGACTAGAATCCAGGTCTCCTGGGTCCTCAGCCCATCACTCTAACCATTTCACCACACTGGCCCTCAATAACCAGCCACCTGGGGAGACCGAAGCAGAAAGGGTGGGCATGCATCATACTCATCTAGCGTATCTGTCCCAGATCAAGCCTGTCAGCAAAATCCTTTTTGCTACCACCCCTGCTAAGGAATCCAAGAAGCCCGAGTTGTTCTAAACAAGCCAGTGCGGTTCTTCAGAAGGAAGGTTACTGAAGGGGCAGGGGCAAAAAGGCTGCAATATTGGAAGGTAGGGGGGAGGCAGTGAAAATGGTGGCGGTGGTAGCAGCTGAGAACAAGAGCTCTGCTGGATAAGGCTGAAGATCCATCCGGTGGAGCACCCAGTGGTCAGCCAAAGGCCTCCAGGGAGCAAGACCTGAAGGCACTGGCCCATTTCCGTCTGACCAACGCCAGCATTTGGTGCTCTCAGAAATATTGCCCCTGTGAATGGAGGCTCCATACAGTCACAGTGGGTAATATTTATGATGGCCATCTCCACATTATTCTGTGGCATCATAAATATTATGATATTGCATAAGCTGGCACTGATGTGAGATCCCCTCACTGCCCAGAGGCATGTCCTGCAGGGTTCCACGGGGTTTGTCCTCAGCAGGGAAACGGGTGCCTTCAGTTCACCTTCCCTGTGGCAGTGCACTCGATATCCCACCTTGAACTTCATGAGTTGATCATAGGTCCCCCCTTATCACAGCAGGGGCTCTCTGCCTCTCCGTCCATCTTCTCCGCACCAGCTTTCCCCAGCCTTGCACTCTCTACATGTGCCGGGATACAACATAATCCATATTTCTGGGAGCTGTAGCCCAAGACACCTTGAAGGCACCAGGGCTGGGGAAGACTGCCTCACACCAAGTCTGGTTCCGTACCCGTCCACCCTCTTGGTCTTCTGGGTAGGATCCACTGTCAACTCCTATAGAGAGCAGACCCACTGAAATGAACAGTGTTGAGGTTGGTCACCACAGACTTCAGTTCCCCCTTCACTTCAGTGCATCTGCCCGCCTTGAGTCCCGCTTCTGGTAGAACAGCGGAGCACCATGGCACGAAAGCGAGGCAGCCTGGGACCCTGTCGCCTCAAACCGTTAGCCAGTGCTCCGGGTGACGGGCTCTTGATTTTGGAGAAAGGGGGCTGTGCTGGGAAAGGCGCAGAGGGGGCAGGGGAGGGAAACGGTGCCCAGGAAGGAGAAGGAGCAGAAGAGGACTTACCGCGGGCGTAGAGGTTGGAGAAGTCGGTCTCGGTCCGCCGGAAGCGGGCGGCTTCCTTCTCGCTGTTCTCGCAGGCCAGCAGGTTCTTGGACGACTGCCGCTCCTTGAGCGCGCTCACCAGCCGGCTCCGCTCCTCCAGGCTGTGGTTCCGTTGCAAGAAGCCTACGCCGTCATTGCAAGGCGCACAGGTCAGCGCGGCGGCCTTGATCTCGCCGCCCAGCATGGTGGCCGGCGCGGGCCGCCAGCCCTCGAGTCCGGCGCCGGCCAGGGCGGCCGCCTCCCGCCGCCCAGCCACGTCCCCCGACGGCCCCGACGTGGGGCTGGCCGGCCCAGGCGAGTCTCCCGGACGAGGGCAGGGACGGCGCGTATTTATGCGGGAGAGGCTCGCCCGCGGGAGGGAGCGCGCACGAAGCCAGTCAGGCGAGAGGAAGGCGGCGCGGAGCCTGCCGTGGCGAGGGCTGGCTAACTCGATCGGACAGCTGCCACGCCGGTGCTCAGCCGCCGCGGAGAGGAGGCGCTCGGGGCGACTGGCGCCCGGGTGGCAGCCGCTTCCCCTCCTCCGACACACCTCGGAAATCGGCCCTGCGGCCAGGCTGCCTCTGAGGTGGGCCGCCGTCAGAGGATGCGAGGAGCGGCTCGGTGTTGCTGGGCCTGCCCACCCAAAGGCACCGCACGAATCGGTCTTGCGCGGTTTCTTAGGCAGCCCCGTTCCAGAGCCTGGGCTTCTGGCTGCCTTGGAACGAGAGGAGTGGAGCAAAGCGTGCACGAGAGCACGTGCAGAGTGCTTCCCCCATTCTGCGCGCCTAGAATTTGACACGCGGGCGGGTTCCAGCTCACACAGCGTGGCTCCCGGGCCCGGGCGCCTCTCCTTTCAGATCCAGCACGGTTTCCTCTGCCCCGCGCATTAGATTTCGGGAAGAAACATGCGGCCAAATCCTATGCTATGCACGTGTACCTGGAAATAGACCACCACAGGGTCCAGAGAGTCTGTTCTCCGGTAATTGCACCCTTAGAGCCCAATCTAGACAATTCTATTTTTTTAAAATCACTGTATAACAAAGTTCCCAGAATGGCTTAAGGCAAGCATAAAAACCATTTCAAAGAGACAGCAAGTGCAAAACATACGAGGCACATCATAAGCGTCTACATACGCACACACGTTAGACGAAAGCGGCCTAGTCCGGTGGGGAAGAGAATCTCGGTGCAAAGGGAAGCAGATGAAAGGCGTGGGGCCATAAAAGGGCCTCGCGTAGCCCCGAAATTTCGCAGAGGTGCCGGGAGCCTTCTTTGCCCCAGCAGCCGCCAAGGCCCCTCGCCAGGGAGGGCGGGGAGACAGCCCGCCCGGGAAGAAGGGCAGCTCCGGGCAGCCCGATCCGGCGCCTGCTGGCTCGCAAGCGGCTCCCGCGGGAGGCAGGCAGGGCCCGGCGCCCTGACCCCGAGGCAAGAGAGGGCCTTGCTCCGGAGAGGCCTCTGCGTGCGCGTCCCTGGCCGGACTCGTCGAAAGCCGAGCGGGGCAGAGGCGCTCGGCGGACGCGGGTCTTCGAAGCCAGAACTGCGGAAAGCACGAACGGTTCTGAAAACCGACACGCTTCCTCGGAAGCAAGTCGCACTGACAACGGTGGGTGAAATCCACCAACGCATCCGAGTCGGTTACGCGCAATCTGCGGCGATCGCAGAAGGGAGGCTAGGGGGACGCGCTGGGCGAAAGCGAGGGGCCATTTATACCTGCCGATTCAGAATACGCGGGTTGTTCAATAAGGGGATTCCCAAGATGGGATTACATCCTTCCTGTGAGTTTCTTATTCTTGCTGCAGAAACTATTTTTTAGATACAGAAGGCTGCAATTGGGGGGAGGGGGTGATAAGAAGGGCGAAGGGTGGCGTCATTATTATAACCCGTTTACTTTGGCGATGAAGTTCGCCTTACTTCACAAGCAAACTTTTACGGGTGCAGTCCTAGACACTTTCCGAAGCCCCGTAGATTTAGACGGATTTAATTCCGGATAAACAGTCTACTCAGAAGTAAGTCCGATAGAGTTCAATGCGCCTTCTGTCCAGGCGAGTCGATACGGGACTGCAGCCGCAGGAGCGAGCTCCAGAAGGAAAGCTCCCCTTTCCAAAATGTACTTCGAGACGAAACCCTGCGTGTTCGTAGACGGGAAAGGAATCCTACCATTCCCATAATTCTCCAGCAGGGGGATGCTTCGAGGGGAAAGCTGGGAATTCTCCTGCAAAGCCCGGCTGAAGAATGCTGGACCGTTTTCCTGCCTCAACGACGCCTGGGATTGCGCTCCTCCGAGTACTGCCCCCCGACTAATCATCGGCCAGTACTTTCAGCCCAGCGGGGCCGCCAACCTTCTCCGATTTGCTCAGCGTTGCCAAGGCAACAGATGCCCCCCCTCTGTCTGGCTTCAAATAGGGCCACCTCGAGGGAAGAAGCCCGCCTTCGCCCCCCGCACCTCCTCCAAAGCACCAATCCGCTTGTGGCACCAAACGCGCGCGGCTTCGGGACAAGTTGACCGGGGATCGCCGTGCCGTCCCCGCCAGGATGCCGCGTTTGCGCCAGAGGGAGCGCAGCCCCGCGGGCTTTCTCTTCCGCCCGCGTCTGCATCTGGGCGTGTGTCTGTCTGCGCGGGGAAGCAACCCACCATCGAGGCAATGGGATTCTGCGGCTGAAAGGCATTGCCTCGCATTTCCACCAAGCCTGGCTTAGCTTTTCCTTTTTCCTTATCTTAACTAATTGTGATTTTGTGTTTTATTGGCCAGTCAATGACCGAATAAAGAACTGATGGATCGATTGCTTAGCTTTTAGAAGGGTGAGAGAGCTTTCAAATAGACACTAAGCTGACCTCCAGAACTGGAGTTCGCTCTTGTTGAGAGAGTCGCTGAACGCCAAGCAAACAGGCTGCAATTGAGAGAAACAGAGGCGCGCAATGGCGAGAGTGCCGGGCTGGGCACTCGGCACCCGAGTCCCAGTCCCCGCGTGGTTCTGAAGCTTGCAGGCCAATCCCTGAAGCTCAGCCTACCCTGCCTCACAGGGTCGTTGTTGGGAGGGCAACATGGAGAGGAGGACGACTCCGTAAGCCGCCTCGGGCGCTTCGCGAGAGGGAAAGGCGGCGGGGAGCTATAAATGCGGCAACGTGTCCGCGGGGCTCTCACTGCGCCGCCCCAGCCCAGCCCCTCAGCCGGCGAGGCGCCGCTTTCCTCGGGTTTTCTCCTCGAGGAGCGCGAAAGACGCGGCCGGAAAGGCCCCCGAGCCGCGGCTATTTGCGTCGTCGCCTGTCACCTCGACTCAGCCTCCTCCTCTGCCGGCTGCGCGGCTCGAAAGGGCGGGAGGAGAGCCCGGGGCGAGGGTCCCGCGGACTCCGCGGCGCACGGCGGCTGCGCTCCCGCTCGCTGGGGAGGCGGCGAGCCACGGCGGGCCCGCACTTCGGGGCGGGGGGACGAGGGGGGGAGGGTTCCCTGTGCCGTCAGGAAACGAACACCAGAAGCGCGACTCGCTTTTCCGTGCCTCCCGCATCGCACTGCTGAGAGGCAAGCGACTCGGTCGCAAAGGGTTTTCAGGACTTCCCAGTTTTAGTTGCATCTACGAGGAAAGAGTCAGTTTTCTTGCCTACTTGGACTACACTCCCATCGTCCCAGGCCAATGACCAAGTTGGCTGGGGCTGATGAGGACTGTAGTCCAAAACCTCAGCTGGAGTCGGCTGAGGTGAGGTGAGCAAGGGTTCTCCTATTTGAGGGCTGCTTTCGATCATCCAAATTTAAGCTTTGAGCTTTAGCTGAAAATGGGACTGAGAGAAATCACTGTTGCTCAGACATTCACTTGCCCGTTTGTGTGAATGTTTGGACACCAGGACAGCACGTTTAAATTCTTGATAGTGCTGAACTTGTCAAAAGCGGGAAGGAAGATAAAGCAAGATCCTTTGAGGAGAAACCTCCACAAAGCATGTTAAAGAGTGGGATGGAATTCTGCATGAATGGCTTCAACTTCGAGCAATGTGGTAGATATGAAGAGCACAAGCCAGCCAAAACCCACGCCCTCTCCAGTACCTCCTGAAGGCTGGGAGTCAGCCCCACCGTATACAATGGGTGCCGCTTTTGAACAGACACGGCTGGGATCACACCCTCCGTCTGGGACTTCATACACAATCCACATGTGCATATCTGGAAGTAAGACTCATCCAGCTCTTTCAGTACCTCTAGGAATAGAATGCAACCGTGCAATACTTTCTACGCATCTACTCAGAAGCCAAGCGCTATGAATTTACTTGGTTGGTTTTACTTCCAGGCAGATATATACATAATTGCAGCCCAACTAGCCTGATTTGCAGGCGGCGGGGGTTGTGCCCAAAATGTTTAGTTGCTGTGCTGGATTAAGAAAAGAAGAGCACACACGCCAGCGACCTGGTGGACCATGAAGCTTGCTAGCCTTAGATTTCTGCTCAGCTGGGCTATTTGATAACCATCACAGAATGATAATTATTTCCTTTCTTCAGAGCATCCAGAAATACAAGGAGCATTCAATCCCATAGCCTTCCAGAAACCTTAATTAAATACATATCTGGTGAGTTCTGTCAGCGCTGAACTTGGCCCTGTACCACTTTCATTTAATGATAGAATCAGTTATTCTTTTTCAAACCCTCCCCCCACAACTGAACATGTATAAAGATGATACATCAGGAAATCTTCAACTAATAAAGTTAACCAGGTTGTTGCATTTTCGTAATACTGAAGTAATAGGTACAAATTAGGCAATTACTTTACAGTAGATTGTCTCTCCATTTCCCCCTCTCCCAGGAGGTAATTTGACTTGATCTGGCTCTACTGGGGACTGAAAAGAAGCCAATTATTGTCCATGAAAGATTTTTAAATCTTCGGAGAAAATAAAATTAACTGTTGAGAAGCATCTTTACTTAAAAATGGTGCAGTGTGTGTTGTGGGGTGAATTCTATGTGCAACTCACCCCAGTATGGATACCAGTATCAAAACTTATATAACGGAATTCAGATAATTCACAGGCAACTGCATCACAGATAAAGCAAGGGCCTGAAATGTTGAATCTCAGGCCCTGAAGCGCAGATAATCAGACAGGTTCACCCAGAAGAGAGTATGGAAGAACAAGAAGGAATCATGGACCCCCCCCCCCCCCCCCCGCCCAGGCTC